TAGAGAAAAAATATCGCTCTGGGATCCTCACGATTACCCTACATTTCATATTCTGGCTGCGTTACCAGCGTGGTTGGTCCTTGTAGTGTAGTGGTTAACACATCGGACTAGAATACCGAAGACGTGGGTTCGAATCCTGCCAAGGGCATTTAATATTTTTCTCTTATTCTCTCTGCTAGATAAACTTAGTTGGGTCTCCTGTGGTTTTCCACAGGTAGCCCAGACAGTTATAAGTATGCTAAAACATTGTATCGTTTACAGATGTTGATGATGATTATGAAGATGAAGAAGAAGCAGAAAAGGGATACCATGATCTCATTGATTCAGGTAAAGTTTCTGAACAACAATATTTTACAAATTCAAAAAAAAAAAATCTATAGGTCAGTGTTTGCCATTGACCTCGGATTTCTTTTTTTTTTTTTTTTTGGCATTTTGCAGGCGATCATGAAGAACCTGTTGGAGATGATATTTCAGTAAGTCATAAACCAATAGGAAACAGTAATAGGTCCCTCTATCACCAGGGATGCCTTGAGACCATCATCACCCCTTGGTAATTCCAATCCCCCTCCGTGGGAGAGGTCCAGATATTTTCTGGATCTACGGTACACAATATACCCTCCTCAGACCTTTCCGACCCCTTGGTAATTCCAATCCCCCTCCATGGGAGAGGTACAGATATTTTCTGGATCTACGGTACACGATATACCCTCCTCAGACCCTTCCGACCCCTTGGTAATTCCAATCTTCCTCCATGGGAGGGGTACAGATATTTTCTGGAACTACAAAATGTACTGAGACCTTTCCTCAGACCCTTCCGAAACCTTGGTAATTCCAATCCCCCTCCGTGGGAGAGGTGTGGATATTTTCTGGAACTATGCAATATACTCTCCTCAGATGCTCTCCTCTAGATGCAGATAATTCTAATACCTAACTTGGAGGAGAAATAGATGTTGTACTTGAAAATGTTGGCATTCATAATTTTTAATTTTCTTAAATAATTTGGGTTATAGGGAGCACGGCGCTTACAACAAATGCTAAGGTAAGATTTCCTTAAAAATACATAAAAACATGTTTGTGTAAAACGTTTTTATGCATAAAAATTCTTCATGTTTCGATCTCAATCTTTTGGTATATTTTTGTTATTTTTCAGGGACAGAAAAGATGATGAGATAGAAGAATACTACAGAAAGAAATATGCCGAGACCAATGACAAGTTAGTCAATACTAGAATTTCAAAATATTTACTCACAAAACTTTGTCTCTATTCTTTTTTTTTTGTGAGTACTTGTGTTTTGGAAAAAGCTACTATTGCTTTTAAGCTTCAGTAATCAAATATTAAAGCCGACTTCTTTTCTTCTAATGAAAATATCCTTGCAGTTATAAGTCCATCAAAAAACCCTAATAGATAAGTTATTACATGTATAACCCTAGGGCTGTTACCAAAATTTTTTTTTATATGATGCATATATTAAACAATAATTAGAATACCATGTACATGTGTGTATATGTCATGACCGACCCAGAGGTATAAATACCATCGATGGTCTCTTGTTTTCTCACTGGACTCTGAAGATGACTCCCATGTTGTCGAAACGTCAGTCATCATCAGCAACAGTCTTTCTCAAGACTGCACTCACCCAGACAATCACATTTCACCACAAACTGTCAGCTACCACCAGCAACAGTCTTTCTCAAGACTACACTCACCCGCACCATTACACTTCACAACAAACTGTCAGTCACCACCAACAACAGTCTTTCTCAAGACTACACTCACCTGGACCATTACACTTCACAACAAACTGTCAGTCACCACCAACAACAGTCTTTCTCAAGATTACACTCATCCAGATGATCACATATCACCACAATCTGTCAGTCACCACCAACAACAGTCTTTCTCAAGATTACWCTCATCCAGACGATCACATATCACCACAATCTGTATGTATAGTGTTGCTAAGAAATAATGTTTATTGTCCTGAGTTTTTCCATCTTTCATGTTTTAGGTATTACCATGCTAATGAGTTACAACCAGAGGTACAACAGCAGAGTCTTCTTCCTGGCGTCAAGTATGTAATCTTTTTTATGTGATGATATGTAATATTGCTTTGAACACCCGAGAACAGTTGTGATTGACGCAGCATGTTTGCAGGGAAACATTCATGCATGTTTTTATTTGGCTTCCTATGGTGGCATGTTTCTCGGAACTTTCAGACTCAAAAAAAAACTTCTGGTATAAACCTCTGGTAGCCAAGTTAATTACTACTTAACTCTTTATAAAGACTTTAGGACTACTAAGCTAAGACTAGTCAACTTTTTATGAAGACCCATCCTCAGAGTGCTACCATGATTATTGAAATGTTAAATACATGTATGTAGGTGCTTCTCCTAAAATAAATAAAGTTATTAGTATGAACACCCTAATGCAATGGAAACAGCATAACAGTTTTGTTAACAAAGGAATTATATTGTTTTCTAGGGACCCAAACTTGTGGACTGTCAAGTGCAAGGTACTAAATTATTTCATTATTTAAGACTCTGATTTGTGTTTGGTACAGAGTAAAAAGCATAATGCTAAAAAAATGCAGATTTTTTGGGTGGAGGAGGGGATAAATGCATGGTAAATACCACATAACACCCTCAAAAGCTTCTCCAACTAGGTCCCTGAGAGGAATAATTAATGTTCGTAATATGTTTCAGATTGGTGAAGAAAAGGCAACAGTAATTGGTTTGATGAGGAAAGCAATTGCACAGCAGTTCACAGATGAGGTACATTGCCAGTTCACCAGACCTTTATTTTTTAGCTCTGATGTAATTTGTTTATAAAGCTTATAGATATGTATTACTTATCTGCTTTCATTCTTTTCATTAGCCATTACAAATCAAGTCTGCTATTGCCGTGGAGGGACTGAAGGGTTACATCTACATTGAAGCCTACAAACAGACCCATGTTAAACAGGTGAAATAAAGAAATAGAAAATGTGCGCTTATGCTGTGTGCAGTTATAAAGCACACAGGAGCTGGAAGAACATGAGAGAATTGTTAGGAGAAGCAGGATATGTAGCGGAGTGCCAATCCTGCCTTACCCTGTCAACTAAAGCTTGAAAAACTCCTGGCCTGTGCTTTGTCCTAACAGCGATTCTGCATAGATTCTATTGAGAATGACTGTAAATCTTTCCTTGCTTTTATCTCAGTAAATAAAGACTTCAAGCTTATTAAGATATTATTATGTTGTAATATCCAGGCAATAGAGGGTTTTGGTACATTGAGGCTCGGCAAATGGCAACAACAGATGGTTCCTATCAAGGAAATGACTGACGTACTAAAGGTTGTAAAAGAGGTGGTCACATTAAAGCCGAAACAGTGGGTCAGGTTGAAGAGAGGAATATACAAAGACGATCTTGCTCAGGTACAGCTATAATCTTGCCATGATAAAAAAATACAGATGAGGGATTGTGTATTTACAGAAAAGAAGATAGAACGTGTATTTTCAGCTTTTTTTATTCATCCTATGGCTTATCCTAATATGTTGGGTCAGGATCCAGATTGTAAAAGTACTAGCTCAGTAATTTTCCCCCCTATATTGCTACTTAACACAGTACTTAAAATAATCATTTGGCATTTGTAGGTTGATTATGTGAATACAGCAAGGAATCAGCTCACTCTCAAAATGATTCCTCGTATTGACTACTCACGCACAAGAGGAGTCCCTCGCTCAGCTGAGGTGAGTACAGTATTGTCTATTGTTTATTTAAAAGTTGGCAAGTCACTGAAGTTACTATTGTCCATATAGGAACAGGAGAAAAGGAAGAAGAAGAGAAAACCACCGCTGAAGCTGTTTGATGCTGATTCTGTCAGGTAACAATGGAAACATGCCTTTTGGCGATGATGATGATAATGATGATAATGATGAAGATGATGGAGATGATGGGTGATGATGATGATAATGATGAAGATGACGGGTGATGATGATGAGGATGAAGATGATGGGTGATGATGATGAGAATGAAGATGATGGGTGATGAAGATGAGGATGATGATAAAGATGATGAAGATGATGGGTGATGAAGATGAGGATGATGATGAAGATGATGAAGATGATGGGTGATGAAGATGAGGATGAAGATGATGGGTGATGAAGATGAGGATGATGATAAAGATGATGAAGAGAATGGGTGATGTAGATGAGGATGATGATGAAGATGATGAAGATGATGGGTGATGATGATGATGATGAAGATGAAGATGATGGGTGATGATGATGAGGATGATAATGATAAAGATGATGAAGATTATGAAGATGATGGGTGATGATGATGATGATGAGGATGATGATAAAGATGAGGAAGATGAAGATGATGGGTGATGATGATGAGGATGATAATAAAGATGATAAAGATGATGGGTGATGAGGATGAGGATGATAAAGATGATGAAGATGATGAAGATGATGGGTGATGAGGATGATGATAAAGATGATGAAGATGAAGATGATGGGTGATGATGACGATGATAATGATAATGTAGTTGGTGATAGTGATGGTGATTACGGTGGTGATTGTGCAAATAATTAGTGATCTTGATGACGATGATGATGATGATGATGATGTAATTAGCAATGTTGATGACAATGATAATGATGTGTGGGAACTCATGTTATTATATTTTTTCAGGAGTATTGGTGGGGAGCTCTCTCAAGATGGTGACTTTATTCTCTTTGAAAATAATCGGTATCGAGGTGGATACCTGTATAAAACCTTGGCAATGTCTGCTGTCGTAAGTAATATTTAACAATAATTAGACCCACAGCAATAATGATCTACGACTCAGTAGCCCATGAGGCCAAAGACAGACAAATGCAATAATGATATTTCTTGTCATTATAGGTGACAGAAGGCATTAAACCAACTTTACAAGAGCTAGAAAAGTTTGAGGCTGCACCCGAAGATGTTGAACTGGAGAGTATCCTTTGAATGAATTTCATCTCTTGCATTTATTCATCCATTCATCCATCTAACCATCATCCATTACTCCACTGATCTATTCTTATAATTATGCATGCTTGCATGGCATCCCATCCATCCTAATATCCATCTTTTTCCTCCCTTCCATTCAGCCAAATCTATCCTTTCATCTCATTCTTTTATACTACCTGTGTAGAAGCATCATTTTATCCATATCCATCCATCCATCTATCTATTCCATCCATCCATCTATCCCTCCCTCCCTCCCTCCCTCCCTCCCTCCCTCCATCCATCTATGTATTCATCCATCCATCCATCCAGTCTTTCCTTGCATACACTATCCACACATCTACTCTATCCATATCGATCATCCAGTCATTCTTTGCATCCAGTATCCTTCCATTTGTTTATCCCATACATCCATCTATCTATTCCATCCATCTTTCCCCTGTTTTCTTCCTTCTATACTATCAGTCTTTCCTTGCATCCACTATCCTTATCCCATGTATCTATTTATCCAAAAACACTTCAGAATACATTTAACAGTGTTATTCCTTAACAATAATAACCAGTGCCTGTTAAGACAAAGAGTAGTGAAGAAGCAAAACACACATTCTGTCCTGGAGACACAGTTATTGTTTCAGAAGGGGAGTTGGTGAACTTGAAGGGAAAAGTCATGAGTGTTGATGGAGATAAGATAACCATGATGCCCAACCATGATGACTTAAAGGTAAATTATCTTCTATTTCATAAATGATCAAAGGGTAAATTATACACTGCGAAAAGATGAAAAAACTGACGTTTCGAATGCAAGTCCTTCGTTGGACTTTGTCAGTCTTTTACTCCGACGAAATCTAGCTTCCAAATTGCAAAGGTTCAAGGTTATCAGTATGATTTTTTAAGTAATAACTGATGCGTTTTACCCTATTGAAATAAAGTTCATTCATTCATTCAGTATTTATAACTTTGCATTATATGTGTATTTTATACCTTGATAACTTGAAAACTTAGATAAAAATAAAGTATTATCTGGAAAAAATGTTTTGGGGTTCCTGTGTATTTATATCACAGGTAGCTCGTGAAATTTCCACAGGGAGCCCATTGAGTGACTAATATGTTTTCTTTCATTAGGAACCCTTAGAGTTCACAGCTCAAGAACTTGAGAAGCACTTCAAGATGGGTGACCATGTTAAAGTGATTGGTGGTCGATATGAGGGTGATACCGGTCTTATCATCAGAGTAGAAGACACAGTAGTCCTGTTTTCTGATCTTACCATGCATGAGGTATGTGAGAAAAATGCATACTGCTGATGTGCAGTGTTGTATGAACATAATAATTATTGTAACATGGCTGAACGATTTTTTTATCGGAGTATGGTCATCTCTTGTACTGTGGATGGTTCACAGGATATTTTCAATTCTATACAATGTGATTCAAAAACAATAACAATGAACAACAATGAAACAGCCGCCATGTTGGTTGATCTAACAAGATAAGCTAATAAGGAATGCTTTGTTATCGTCAACCAAGAGGATGATTATGATGTAACATACTGTATGCTCTATAGCATGACATAGTGTTCATGGCATAACAGTAAGATGTACCATTTTTGTATGAACAGCTTAAAGTGCTTCCAAAGGATCTTCAGTTGTGTTCAGAGAGAAGCAGTGGAGTGGATTCCATGGGTCAGCATCAGTTTGGTGATCTTGTGCAGCTTGAGTAAGTCATGCCTTTTAGAAGTTTGTATTACTTGGTTATCCTTCTTTCCATACACCCACTCTTTCATCCATCCCATTCATTCACACATCTGTCCACTCAGTCATCCATCATTCTACTTGTCCATCGATACAAACACACAACCATCCATCCATCCCATTCATTCACACATCTGTCCACTCAGTCATCCATCATTCTATTTGTCCATCGATACAAACACACAACCATCCATCCATCCCCTTCATCTATCCACTAACCCACTCATCCATACACCCACCATCCATTGATTCAATCTTCCATCCATCCATCCATCCATCCATC